GATATGAGTTTAATACAATGTAACGAGTTCTTGGGATGAATACAATGTTGAGAAACTGAGAATCGAATATGCGTAGCTTATATTATAGTTAGTAATATATTAGTTATAGTTAAACCATTGGGTCGCAACACCTCAACCGCCGAAAAAACGCGCGCCCTCGTGCGTCTGTTTAAAAAAAAAAAAGCTTCTTGCCATGTTTCAAGTAACTATTTGCACTCATACATTTACATAGTAAAATTATTTCCATAATGTTAGCGTGTATGTTATAAAATACGATTACAGTTTTTTTTTTTATTTCATTTCATGAAATTTTAAATATTTTCAATAAATTTTCTTTCAATATAGTAGTTTAATGTCATTAGTTTTTAATTGAGTATAATTTCGTTTCAAAGTGTAGCATTTTTCCTTTTAAAATTTCATGATTACAAGTTTATTTTCATATATTTCATTGATAATATCTCAAAATAGAAAGTTCGATTAGTTTAACAATAATGCTGTAAATATTTATATAATGTTAATCATTAATTAATAATACTTTTTTTCTTATTTCATATAGTTTTCATGTATAATAGTGTTCTTACTTAATCATGCTATTCATTAACTTAATTTTATTTTTTTGACCTTGTAAATAATGAGGAACTTAAAATATTTTTATTTGTTACAAGTAATTTTTAATAACATGTTTTTTTAACTTTCTAGAATATAACTTTTTCTTTGTAGACTTAACTATAGAATATAATTCATATTTTTTTTTTAAACTTAAACTATTTAATATCTCTTTTTTTGTAACTTAAACTACAGAATATAACTCTTTTTGTATGCTTAAATTATTTATCTATTTCTAATAATCAAAATATTAATTTCATTCTTGGTAAATTCAATACGCGAGAGTAACAAATGTCTTAATCATTTGGTATGAATATCTTTAATTTATTGTTGTGAACTAAAACAGGTTTGTCATTTATTAGTATAGTGCTGTTTACATCGTCTGTTTTAATATTTTATATGGACCCTTAAATAAAGGCATTAATTTTTTGCATTTTCTCGAGTAAGTCTCGTCACTGAGTAATACTAAATCGTTGATTTTAAATGTCCGTTGATTTGCGTTTTCGTAATAGTATTTTCTGGATTTTGTTTTTGGAGAAGGATTTTAGTTTTAATTATAGTAGGTTTTTTAACTTTCTTCTTTACTTTATTTGCTTGACATTCCGTACATTTACTTATAAAATCTTTAATATTTCGCTTCATTTTTGGCCATTTATATAATTTTTTAATCTTATTGTATGTTTTTCTTATTCCTAAATGTCGTCCGTGCATTTGTGAAATATGAAAGTCGCATAAAATTTTATTTATCTGTTCCGTTGTTAAGTTTTCTGAAATATTAGTATAGATGATAGTAGTTTCATTTATAGTATTTGAATTTTGTTGAAAACTGTTTGTATCGTCGTTTAAAACTGTTAAAAGCGAAAAGTTTTTCTCATTTGTTTCTATTACATTATTTTGTCTTTTAATTCTTGTATATCGAAACTTGAATCTTGCTCTTTTTTAATGTTGTACAAAAAATATTATTTTCAATACATAACGTAACATTTTTAGTTTTGAAATTTATCTGTGCATCAAAATGTGTCAAAAAATCTTTCCCTATTATTCCTATGTCTTTTGTCGGTAAGTTTTTAACTACTTGAAATGGGAACGTTATTTTATTATCATTTATAATAAATTCTAAATAAACTGCGCCTAAAGTTTTGATTTTATCATTTGTGATTCCCGAAATTTCTTTTTGTAAATGTTGATATATCAATGTATCTAAATTTAGTTGATCAAGTCGTATTAATGAAATGTCACTTCCCGTATCTAATAAAAATTTTGAAAATTCATCTTTTGTATTAGTTGTCATTAATTGAATTATTTCATGATTATCAGTTTCGTTTATTAAAAATGAACTCATAATTTTTGAATTTAGCTGTTGTACTGTAACGGGATCGTTTTTTGTTGATGTTGAAGGTATAGGAATTTGGGATTGTGAATAAGTAATTTGTTCATTATTGTCATAGTTTGTGTTTATCCTGCTTTGTGTATGTGCGTTCATTGAGTTTGTCGTATTTTCTTTATGTATGCGAGAATAATTACATGTTTCTTGTGGTTGCGTCATGTTAGTATTACGAGAATTTGAAAAATTAGTTTTAGATACTCTACAATTCGGATCGTTACACTCAGTTATTAAGTGGCCATATTTTTTACAAAAATTACAAAATTTTTCATTTCTTTGATTATAATTTTCTCTATTAAAATTTCGTTCACTATTTCTATAATAACACGTTGAAGCTTTATGTCCTGGTTTTTTACAAATAAAACATGTTGGTATAAAATTTTGTGAAAATGTGTTTTGATTGTAATTTGAGTATGTCGGTCTATTTTCTGAAAAATCATTATTTGAAAAAGTTTGATTAGTCGTTTCTTCTTCAACCGCGAAATTTATAGCATCTGTAATATCATTAAATCTGCAACATTTAACTAGGTTTCTTAGTGGTTCTTTTAATCCGTTTTCAAAAACTTTTATCCCAATTTGTGTGTACGTCATTTGAATTATTTCTGCTGCATCTTGTCCTATCATCGTTATGTTACAAAAGTAAATCTGTCTCAAAATTTCTTCTATTTTATCACCGAATTTCTTTACCGATTCGTTATGTCTCTGTCTCAAACTATTTAGTTCTGTGATTAAGCTAGGTATTGTTCGTTTAGTTGCATATTGTTGCGTTAAGTAATATTTTAAGTCGTTCCAAGAATCAAATTTTACAAATTGTATTTTAGCTAGTAATTCTGGCGATAATTTTAACCTAATAATGTTAAGCAATTTTCTCGCTTCGCTTTCCGTCAAATCTTCTGCTAACGTGTCACATGCTAATATAAAAGCTGGCAAAGTTTTTGAATCTCCGTTAAAATTAGGTATTAATGTAAGCGCGATTTGAACATTTAATTTATTATCATTATTTATCATAGTTTGATCCATCACTATTTTAGTTTCGTCGATACGCTTCGCTTCGTTATAATCATTCATTTTTATATTTATTTGTGAAAGCGAAAAAATACAATATTCGAAAAAAAATTAAAATCTTAAATCTAATGTTTTACTAACTTGTATTTTCGTAGTCCTGTCGAAATTTAGGTTTATTTTTCTTCTTTTCGTCTGTTTCTGCTCGTTTCCGTGTGTGCGTTATCTTGGTCCTGCTGCAATTCAGGTTATTTTTCCTCTCGATTTTTGTTCTGCTCGTTTCCGTGTGTGTGTGTGGCTGAGTTGCGTGGTTGGATTGAAGATTCACTAATCGTACTGCGATGCGGTAAGGCAATCTTCGGATGCAGATTTCTTCCTCTGGACTTCTGCGTAATTTGACGTGGAAATATCTTAACACTACCCCGTGTTGACCACCGGGTTTTGAGATGCGCGGTTAAAATTTTGGTTTTGAGATGCCAAAATAGTGTCGTACAGGTAACGTAGTTGTAGATACAATCGTTCCACTTCAAAATAGAAAATCCCCGTTTTTGACTATCAGGTTTTGAGAAACCGTGATTAAAATTTTGGTTTCGAGATACCAAAATAGTGTCGTACCAGGTAATAATTTTCAAACTAGAACTTTCCAGGGATCGCCGCTGGCTCCAAATAATAAATGTCACCAAATATTATTAACACATTATTAAAAATACGCTCTTTCACAATTTTTATTTTTTTAGAAAAAAATTTAAAAAAAGTTTGAGAACCGCTGCCACCAAAATGTGTTGGGCGCCGATTAGCTTTTCTCTTCATCAACCAATTTCGTTAGATGTTATTGTAATATCATAATAATTTCAAATTAAACACAATATTTTTCATGTATACTTTTATTTTCCCGTTCATTAATACATTGAGATGCTGTCGTCTATACGAAAATTACACAACTAAGCCCAACTTAAAATTCCATTTTGGCTTTATATAACCTTTTATTTAGAAGAGGGGCTTACTCCTTTTAGGATATGATAAACTAAATTCATTTATATGTGTGAGTGCAAATTATGTGATTTCCCGATCGAAATTCATAGGAATTAATGCGTCGTATGCAGAGAATCACGTACGCATTAAGAAAAAGTTCATGGATCCCATTTCTGATTATAATACTTTTGTTACTCGATATGAGTTTAATACAATGTAACGAGTTCTTGGGATGAATACAATGTTGAGAAACTGAGAATCAGATATGTGCGTAGCTTATATTATAGTTAGTAATATATTAGTTATAGTTAAACCATTGGGTCGCAACAATATATATATATATATATATATATATATATATGAATGGAAACTCCTACACGGTTATTCGAATTTTGATTAATCTTTTTGAAGTTTGTTAAGGAAAATTTTAAGGACTTAATTGATTATAAAAATAAAGTAATATTTAAGTATATATATATAATGATATAGACAGTTATATCACAGGAGCTAATTAAATATTAAACAATTTATATTACATAAAATAAGTATATAAACATATATTCAAAACATTTGAAACGTCAGTACAAAGCTTAACAACATTGACAAGTCATGTTAATGAATTAAGCAAATTGCACGCTGTTCGACAAAAATAGTAAACAAAAACGACACTGCATGTTAAACTATTATTTATAAACATTTTAAGTGATTATAGTTTTGTTGATTTGTTAGCAATAATAAATTAATAACTACATCATAAACAGTAATTTGTTTAATAGGGTAAGTAAGCAAACATAAAAAAATATTAATAATTAAAAAAATGGTTGAAAACGTAGTGAGTTATAATCTTGAGAAATAGGAAATTAGAAACTAAATTCAGTATTTATTAGAAAAAAATTATACGTTTTAACTATACAAAACACATCAAAATTATATGTATGAAAATGAATTTTAACTGACAAATAGATTTTATGCACAAAAATAAATTTAACCACATTTAAAATAATAAAAATCAAAATATAAATTATAAATAACCAACCTCAATACGTAGGCATCAACTTGATCATTTCTGCTAAAGCTTATAATCTCGCATCTGACTATCTTCAATAAAGCATCCCATTTTGATCTGAAAATATAAACAAACCATAATCATTACCATTAAAATCCTACAAACGATTATATTTAATAATTGTTAGTTAATAATTAATTTTTAAATTATGATCTGTTTACATCACGAGGACATTTAGTAATTGTTTTGATACTTAGTGTATGGCTTGTTTGAGAAGCCAACCTAGTAGTTGTCATATACTAATTGTGGTACATTTATGCCTTTTAGCTGTATTTTTTGACTTCATACGCCAACTACTGCCGAATTATTACTTTTTTTACAATTTTAGTATATTAGATCGATAGGTTGTTTCTTCTTCAATCTTCTAATAGATGTAGATTCTAATATTAAATGTGTTTCATTATATTATCGTGATATCTAATATAAATGCTGTTTTCCATAATCTCCTGTACAGCTTCGACCCTTAACCAGTTAACTGTGTTTGACGATTATACACGTCATAGAGATGTGACACATAATTGTGTGTATTAACGAGTTATGGCTATAAAACAGTGAATTTGAATGAAATTTTTTAAAGAAAATATATATTTTGAAGTTTCGAGATATTTAGAATATTTTGAGGCAATGACTATATAAAGTGAGTGTTTGTAAATGGCATTTCACCTTGATCATAAAAATTAAAATTTGTCTACATTTAAATATCGCTTTCTACTGTTTATTTTGAAATAAGCAGTTTGCTTTTCATTAAGAATTATTCTTACTTTTTTACATTTACATGTACAATATTTCACGGATTTTTTTTTTCATTTCTTTTATTAATTACAATCTGTTTTATACAAAACAGATGAGTAAAATGCACTTTTTTAATTTGAGTGAACCCATATTTTTCTGATATATTACCTGCGCAACTTATCATGTGATTGACGAATATACTCGTCATGATCTCAAATCGGACGCCAAAATGTGCGTACAGTTCGATGTGAGCGCCACAGTTAACTGGTTAAGGAAAGTTGCATACACTTGCCGATATGTGTAAAAATAGAATTAATGAGAATAAGAAGATTAGCTATTTAGATAATTTTAAATGTTTTTTTTTAAAAAACATTCTATTGAACGTTATAAAGAGTTCAAAAATATTTGAACAAAGTACAAATGAAAATTCGTCAACGAATAGAAACTGTGATACTGCTGCAATAATGCATAATAAATGTATTGGTATTGCACTCATATCATGAAAATAAAAGTTTATCATCTCACAAACCATGTTTATTTTTAGCGCATATATTGTGCAATCCATTCCCACATACTGTATAAAATTTTATAACATTGTATTTTAAGTGATTACTCATTTATAACGTTAATGTATTTATGCTATTTGTTATCTAGAATATGAAGAATATTTAATATTGATATTACTTGAAAAAAAATCATAAAATCACATAAGCTCACTTAATCATTAGTATAACATAATATCTTATTCAATAAAAATATTTTTGTCTTAAGAATTTGCATGATATGTATAAGTATAACACTTGATAATTAAAAAGTATATAGAGTGAGAGCACGGCCTTAAGGGTCCGCGGGTACAAAAGTCCACCGCCGATATCTCAAAAACAAGTAAAGTTTGTTTTATCAACAATATTTGAAAGTAGGAAGAAAAAGAAAAAGAAAAAGAAAAACGGCAATGTTTCAAAAACTATCCACAAAAGTATTTTCTTCCGTTGTTAGTTTTTTTTTTGCGAGTTTGGAACTTAACATAATTTTTAAGTATGCGTTATTTAATTAATTTATAAGATGTATTGTTAATTTTAAGTTAAATTCAACAGATTTTTTTACATGGCCTCTATAAAAGCTTACACCTGGTTGGGGTAAAAAGGATCAACTGTACCTTTACCCTGGCAAAAAAATAGTAAATAAAAAGCAAATTAAGTTAAAAAAAGCAACTTTACAAGATATAAATGACATATTCAAAAAAATCTGCTGATATATATTTTTGGCGGACAGATAAGGGTACATACAGTGTTATCTCTGTAGAAATGCATTCATAGAATTTATATTTTGCGTTGAAATAATGTAGCTATTATATTGTAAAATCCCTTTAAAATTAAGAATAAGACATAAGACCTTTTGTGTTTTCAAAAGTATTTAAATATTATTTAACACATAATAAATTTAAATTCTATGCGATAAATAATATTAATGAGACTTATAAAACATATTTTGTCCAATCATTAGGTTTCAAAAATCGCTAATTTAAAGCGAATTAAAAGTATAGTCGTAATATATTAAGAGAAAATGATAACTTGGTTTTAACAAAAAATAAATATTAATGATTTTTTATTATTTCATCTGATAACGATAATAAATCTCAATATTATGAATAATAACATTCTAATTATATAACATTTTTTAAAAAAATATGTTGTATCTTGCCATTACAAATAGCATAAAACATTAATTCAAAAATATAAAAAAATTGGAAAATATTTCACGTTATAAAACAGCCTTTGGGTGAAGGCAACAATATTTGTTATTATTACAAGCAACTATATTTCTCGAATCGCAATTACAGAGAACATCACCATAAACCGTAATCTAATCCTATAGCGGGATATATCCTGTATCAAAATTTTCCATAATCTTATTTCAAATAACACACAATCATGAAGTTGCGATAGTGAAGAAACGCAACAGTCATGATAATTTTATCATAATAATAGAGTTCCCGGGAGCTTGAACGGGCAGCGGCAGGTAAACAGCAGGTAGAAAAACGCAATTGTCTGCTTATTCAATACTAATTTTTTCACTGAATACACACTTTCAGGCCAAGGTTATAGGTGGTACTACCCTCTAGGTCAGGGTTTCTTAAAGTGGGGGTCGCGAGGCTACTGAACGGGGGTCACGCAGATCTGATACTTTTCAGTCATTATAAATAAAATTTTAAAATTAGTACACACACTACGTGCAAATATAAATACGAATAAAAATCATACAAAATACTATTGTAGTTTTATTATAATCGGCGTCTTTGTGCGATGCACTAATTTGATTATTTTCACGATAATTTATGGCTTCTCAAGCTATGCTATTTGGCAGACATTTTTGATAAAATCATTTTTTAAACTTAAAAGCACAAGAAGAATTTGCCGAATTAACTAGTGATGCTACCTTGCGACTAAGATTTTCTCAAGTGCCTGTGCATGAATTTTGGATAGAAATGAAATCAGAATATCCACTACTATCGAAAATAGCAATGAACAAATTACTGCCATTTTGTAGAACATATTTATGTGAATCAGCCTTTTCCACCTTAACTTATATAAAATCAAAATACCGTCCAACTTTAATAAACGTTGAAAATTTATTACGATCTGCACTAACTCAAATTGAGCCTAGATTTAATTATTTGTGTAAAAATAAACAAACACATCCGTCACATTAGTATTGTTTGATTTATTAATAATATGTTTTTATTGAAAAAATTGTTACAAAAGTTTATTTTTTCTTTTGAATAAATAAATAAATATATATATATATATATATATATATATATATATAATTTTGTCATTCTATTCATTGTGTTTTATTACGAGCAATATCCCGTAAACGTTTCCAATTATATATATATATATATATATATATATATATATATATATATATATATGTATATATATACATTTCAACGTCAAATTTAAACACTATCAACATATATATATATATATATATATATATATATATATATATATAATCAGCACGTCTCTCCTTATCAATACGAATCGAATGTTTTTTGAGTTATTCAAATCGCTTCATCCGTGTTCCCGAAATCGTCGACGAAATTTTGTATCCGAACACACACACACACATACACGCACACACACATACACACACACACAAACATCCATTTTTTCTAAGGCATGCCAAAATGTTCAAAAGGTTTTTAAACGTAAAGATAAATAAAAATTTTCATATTCGATTTTTTTGCGATTACTATAACTTGCCCTGCGGGAAGTTAACAATAAAAAAATTGCAAACATTTATGCTAAGGGTTATAGTTCCAACCTTTATTTGGTGGAAAATTACTATAACAAATTTAACTAAATAAATATATGATAATGTTGAAGGTTTAAAGAATAACTAGCAGAAGATATTTGCAATTTGATATTCGAATATTGTAAATAAATAATCTTATTTATACTGATAAACCATGGTATACAAATAGGCACTAAAGTATCGTATTGCAAAATAAACATACATATATATATATATATATATATATACATATATATATATATATATGTATATATATATACATATATATATATATATATATATATATACTAGCAGGTCCGGCAAACGTTTGTTTAACCGTGTCCGCAATGTAAGATTTAGTTTAAATTGTATTGGCACATTTGGAGATTCAACGTTTTGATTTATCATTACCGCGCTTTTCATTAAATCATTAACTTTTAATATTTAATTTTCAATTACGAAGCAGCATCGGAACATTCATTTTTGGCGTAGATTTGCATAGTCTCAAAAATTGTTGCGATTATGCAAGAATCGATCAATATTTTGTATAACCTTTCGTTTCCAAAATCTAAAAATTGGTTTGAAAATGTTTCAACGATAAGCTAAACATTTCAGAGCGAATATATTTAAGCTATTCCATAAGCTAAAATCATAATCATAATAAGCATCAAACTTTGATCAAAATTTGAAGTTATCGAACTAAATGTGAAATGATTGAACTATTAAAATGACTTATGAAATAATAATTTGTGGTAGAAAGGTGAAAATTTAGTGTTAAATGTATTTTTCAATAGCGCATTAAAATAAAGAAATTTGATCTCAAAAAGAAAATAAGTGTTAGAGGGATTGACAGCCCTTGATAAAAATAAATTGTGTTTTTTTTAAGTAATATTTAAGCTTTTGTATAATTTCAAGAAAATCTGAACTAAAATTATGTCAAAAACATAACAGGGCATTGTCTAATATTTATAAAAATTATATAAACTGAATTGCAAAGTTAAAATTATTTATTTGAAGTATATAAGTGA